TAATATTTTAATTAAATTATATATTTAATTCAAACATTACAATATTTAAATGTTCTACTTTAAATATGTTTTATTATTTTATTTCTTTATTTAATATTTATAAGTTTATATTTATAAGTATTAGAATATTTAAATATTCTACATTAAATAGTTTTTATTTTTAGATATTTATTTATATTAATATTAATTAAATATTTATTTAAATGTTCTAAATTAAATATTTTAATTATTTATTTAAAATGTATTTTTATTTATTGTTTATATGTTTATAAGTAATATTTCTAAGTATTAGAAAATGTAAATGATTTAAATTAAAGTTTTTATTATATATTTTAACTAATAAATCATTCATATACATGAATTAATGAATTTTAAAAATGTACTTGATTTACAAATATTAGAATATTTACCTATTCAAGTATTCTAAATATTTAGAGTCAGAGACTCAATTCAATGTTTACCTCAAGAAATAATAAAAATGAATAATAATAATAATGCATCATGTTCTTATCTGAACTCCATTACAAATCTTCAGGGTGAGGATGTTCTGTATCACTGAATATATAAATAACTGGTCATTAGTTGTTGTTTTTTTTATCTTTTTATCTCTGGTTTGTTTTTTATCTGATATGAACCATTCAACCAAAACCACCTCTTAAAAAAAGAAGTTCCTGTCTAGTCATGTGACTTCCTCAAGCGTTTAGTTCTCCACTCCAGAGAGCAGAGAAGAACTTTTCTTCTGCCTCTTCCTCCTCTGGTGGCTTTTGTCTCTTAGTGAGTGGCACCGTGGCAGTAAGACTGACAGTTCGTTTAGCATAACCAAGAGTAATACTGCCACAGCTATAGTCGTGGTCCTCAGGAGAATATTGCCCACCCACTACCAGATCAGCATGTTACGACGGAAACCATCCAACGCATCTGAAAAGGAGCAGGGCCAGGTGCAAAAGAAGAAGGTAGGAGTTTGTGTCTTAATGCATGTGTGGCCCTGTTTTGAAGAGCAGAACATGTGGTTTTGTTGCTAACTGTTTGAAACAACAGTACTTTGAGAGGCTTTTTCAAGTGTTTTCATTCATTTCATTCATTAATAATAGTCCTATTGTAATATGTAGTTTGACTTCAGCCCTGTAAGAACTGAAACTCTATGATTGTTCTGGGTGAAATGCATGGCTGTGCAGCAGTTCCTGTAGAGACAGCAGACCGTACCACACATCCTGAAGCAGTTCATACCTCATCAGAGCAAAGCATCCAAAAACAGCTTCTCAATTCGAAGTGGCATTTACGTAGGTCTTCACAGCAATCAGCGGTTAACTGCTTCTGCAGCATTACTCTTATTTTCCATTTGATTCACATCTTGCGTGTAACAACCAACAGTTTCGATATTTCTCCTCTGTGAAACTGCAGGTGCTTTGTAAACCCATGGAATCCAAGCAAAGTGGGATCTGAAAATCTTGCTGTTGTGCATTATGGTTATTTTGCTCTCTTTTATTTATATGTTTTAAACCAATGCCTTTCTCATATCCTTATCCAGAGTACAGAATGTAGCATAGAGTTGACGCTCATTACCATCACCTCAAATGTTGCAGTTTCCTCTTTGGTCATGGTTTAGATTATGCATAATCATTTCAGTCGAGATCTGTCAAAAATATATTTCACCATCTCATGAGGATGCAGAATGTTGTCACTGTGTTTGAGAAATGTATGGGGAAGGTTTGCAAATAGATGGGAATGATTTGTGCAATGATAGTTTGACAGTGGGACTATTTAGTTTAGTATGATTTTCGAATCTCTCTGCATTTAGTTGTCTTAGCAGATTGCAGTCTGTTGTGTGTTGTCTAGATAGTGCACAGCTCTGCAGGGATTGGCTGCATGATGACTGTGACATACCCACTTCCTGAGTTGAAGAAAAGTGGCACAGTGAAAGGTTTAGATAAGAGAGAGAGAGAGAAAAGTCAAATTGGAGCAAGGATGCACAACAGCCCACAAAACCCACACTGAATGACTAGCATTAATTAAAAAAAAAAAGTTTCTTATTCTTGAATGAATCTGCTCTGGTTCTACTCAAACAAGTCACGCTTTGCAATTCGGTGTCTTTTAAAGTTACTTTATCATATAGATCAGCGGTGCACAAACCAGGGTCGGAAAGCCAAAGTTAGCTCATGATGACCTTTGATTTGTCCCACCATGCCATAACACAATGAAACTGAATTTTTAGGTATATATTAAATGTTATTATTATTTTAGTATAATATAGTTGGATGTAATTTACGTTCAGTCCAATGGCCCTCAATTAAGTTTGAGTTTTTGGCCCTAGAAAGATTAGACTGACACTTTGTTATTGTAATCAATTACATTGAGAAGTTTGTTATGTAAAGTGTCACCAAACACATTTTCCTATCTGTGAAAACCTATGAAAGCTTCTTTTTCATGAACAGTCCAAAGGTTTTTCCACCCTACAAAACACTTGAACTAAGTGTTATCCATGCTTATAATTTCATCTGGTCCATGGTTCTGAAAAGGATAATGTGGATTCTTCTGCTCAAATGTTGCTCCAGAGGCCCGATAATGCCTCCAAATATTGATCAGGATATATGCTTGTGGAATTACAATAACATTAAATGGCCATTATAACATAAGCTATCAGTTAAAGTAAACTGGATTTGTTCATGATGCATAGAGATTACATTTCATCAGCATAATGCTTCAACCATAAGGCCAATTGGGTCAGGAATCATGAGCAATAATCTATCTATGGGTCTGTCTATATCTGAATACTGTACAGTACTGTAACTTTGATTAGTCTCTGATGAGAAACTGTTCTGTGTTTACAGCTGACTCTGCAAAGGTCCAGCAGCTTCAAAGACTTTATGAAGCCAAAGCCGTCGTCACCCGTAGTGAGCTCTGAGCCTACACTGGATGAAACAGTAAGTGCAGTAGTTTGTTAAAGGAGCAGTTTACCCAAAAAAAATGAAAATTCTGTCATTTAAGCACCTCCCTACTGGTTCCAAACCTGTATGAGTTTATTTCAGCTGTTGAACACAAAAGAAGACTTTTTGAAGAATGTTGGTAACTAAACAGTTGATATGGAAAAATACTATGGAAGTCTATGGATACCATCAACTGTTTGGTTGCCAACATTCTTCAAAATACCTTCTTTTGTGTTAAACAGCTGAAATAAACTCATACAGGTTTAGAACCACTTGAGGGTGAGTAAATCAAGACACAATTTTCATTTTTGGTGAACTATCCCTTTAATTATGGAGATAAATTTGCTCTACTCAAGCTCCAACTTACTGTTGTCTCATGATTATCAAACTATTGGACAATGTGAAGTTGTGTAGAAAAAACAACAGCCAAGTCACAGTTAACCTTAAACCAAACTGCTAGAATGATGCTTAATAACGGCTTCATTTGACAGTTTTAAAAATATCTACACAGGATGTCATCCTTTCATGAGCCATTCAAGCAGAGAGCCTGCTTAACCTTCTGTCTGCTTTTCAGAGAAGCAGACAATTGTGGTATTTTATGCATAGATATATAAGATTTTCTGTAAGATTTATTTATAATGACTGCTGAAAATTCTAATAATAAATTATAAAATATAATAAATTACATTTATAAAAAGAAATTTTAAATTGTAATAACTTTTCACAATATTGCTGTTTTTTATTGTATTTTTTTATCAAATAAACGCAGCCTTGGTGAGCATAAGAGACTTCTTTCAAGAACATTAAAAAAAAAATGTGTGTGTATATTTTATTATCAATCAGTCAAGATAATATTTGACATTGTTTTAACAAAAATTAATGAATAAAAAATTTATTATTAATGAATAATTTAATAAATATTCATATATTTATTGTTGTTAAAACTGTGTCCTGTTCAATACCAAAAGTGTTAAATGGTATGGAATAGCTTTCTGTGCGGGTGTTAAGTGAAGTGCTGAGGTATAAACACAAGGGCAATGTAACAGATTGCTGTAAAATCCCCTTGACGCCTACAGGTAGTTTTTTGTCTGTGCCTTTGATAACCGCACATGTCCTAAAAGGAAGAGCCTGTGACATTTCTCTTAGAGCTCAGAGAGGAGGAGCTACACTGACTCACTGTGGTAATGACACAAAAACCACTGTCACAGACTTTACTGGAAATCCTCTTGAGAACGGGCCCATCAAGTTAAAACTAACACCGCTTATAATGAGGTTACATCACAAACAAATACATGCTGATTCAGCTTAGCCAGGGCATAGACCTGAACATAACATTACAAAAGCGTTATGAAAAACACATCAAAGAGTTCTGCACTCAGTAATTAAAAACAAAAAGGTTACTTGATGTAAATCAAGGCAATAAGTTCTAACAGAAGTCTGTCTCGTTTTCTTTAATGATGGAGCCAGGACATAGAGGGCAAGCAGCAAGAATTATTCATTGCCTGTAGACCTTTTTAGACAAGAGGAAGTTTTATGAGTCAAGAGGACAAAATTAGAAGCTGAATAAATGCACAGTAAAAACAGTGTAATTTTTTGTGAAATTTCTTTCAGCAGCTGGAGAGTGCACCACCAGAGGATTCAAGGAAAAGTAACGGGAAACTGGGAAAGAAATGGAGAAATGTCATATCTCGCACAATGACCCGTAAAACCTCCAAGATGGTACAGAAAGCCCTTGCAGAGGAGGGGGTGAGCTGAAAGCACAAGTGTAAAGTACAATAAGAGTCAACGATGAACTAACAATAAACACTTTTACAGAATTTATTCATCTTGGTTAATGTTAATTGCTACAGTTTTTTAGCATTTCAAATTTTTTAGTATTTCCACATCCAATTTTATAGATTGTGTATAAAATAATTTAATTGCATTTATAAATTATCATTATATTAATAAATGCTGTAAATTTGTTAGTTAATTATGCCTAATGCATCAATTAATGTAAATTAATTTAACCTTAACCCTTGTAAAATATGGTTATAAACGTTTATTTATTATCTTATTTTATTAAATTTTCCTAAGTAATCTAACATGCTAGCAACCATCTAAGAAAAACACTTAATGCAACAGATTTAACTTTTCTGGTTTCTAATTGTATTTTTTTTTTCTAAGTAAACTAACATAGCAGACCTCTATCTAAGAAAAGCACTTAATGTAACAGATTGAATTTGTCTCCCCCATGTGGATGAGACCAGTACATTTTATACAGTCAGCAGTCTCAGGATGTTTTCAGTAGCTTAATGCTACGACATTCATGAGCATATGAATTAAAATGAACTTTTAATTATGTTACGTTTGTTGATTTCAGAATGAGAGTGGGGGGGACGGCTCTATGTCTCCAAGTGACTGGATTCCAGATCTCACTGCTGGGAACAGAACGTCTGTGTGCTCCAACAGCTCAGAGGACACAATACACAGCCCTCTCTCACGCCAGCTCTCTGGATGTAAGCAGTCTCAGCCCGGCACAATATGAAGCTGAAGTGAGATCATGAGGCTGATTGATTTTTTTTTCCTGATGTGCAGGTGCTGACAGGCAAAGTCTGGACAGTGGCTTCAGCCAGAGAGACAGTATGAGACTGGAGGACAGCACCTACACAGGGCCCTTCTGCGGCAGAGCCCTCGTCCACACTGACTTCACCCCCAGCCCCTATGACATTGAATCCCTCAAACTACAGGTCAGGCTTTTAAAAAGTGCTGTTTATGGACAATGAATGGAAAAAAAAACTGCCATTATTTACTCTTCTATTTATGAATTCTTCTTTTTTCTTATTTGTTTTAATAAATTTTAAATACATTTTTAATCCATTTGTATTTAATCAATAGTATTTTTAAACACTTTTTATGGAAAGGACTTTGAATTACCATTGTGAATGAAAATAGTATATTATTAATATATATTATGGTTTATGTAAATATTGTAGTTATACGTTTTAGTCATTTTGTTGGGTGTTTTTGCCATTTTTATTAGTTTTTGTTGTTTTTTAAATATATGTCTATATAGTTTTTATTAATTTTTATTTCAGTTTTAGTTTGTTATTTTAGCTAAACTAAACAAAAATGTTAAACTAAAAGAAAATGAGAAATGTTGCCTTGGCAACTGGCTGAAATAAAATAGTATAATAAAATATAAAATAAAAAAATATATTTTATTTTATTTCAGTTAATGTTTATTTTTGGCTCAAGTAGCAAGACTGTTTATTTATTTATTTGTTTGTTTTAGTCCAAGTTTAGTTAACTATAATAACACTGATATATGAAATGTGCTATAGAAATAAACTTGCCTTGCTTTTTATGGAACACAAAATAAGTAATTTTGAGGAATTGTACTGGCTGCACTTTTCCATACAATTAAAGCACAATGAACATTTTCCTGAAGCTTTCGAGCATCAGATGGTTGCAAAATCCCTGTAAAAGTATCAAAAAGTGGTCCATAAAATTTGTGTGCTATGCTTAAGTGTTTGTGAAGCTTGAAATCTTAAGTCCCCAATCGCGAGATAAAAACAACCAGTATATTATTCAGAATTACTTCTACTGTGTTTCACGAAAGAAAGTAATACAAGTAATGACAGAATTTTGAGTATAACTAATCCTTTAAAACATTGTAGTATGCAGCAAGTATATTGTATGTAGTGCACTTACATTTTTCAAAACACACAGAAAGGAGACATCATCCAGATCATTGAGAAGCCACCAGTAGGCACCTGGACTGGTAAACTCAATAACAAAGTGGGCTCCTTTAAATTCATCTACGTCACAATACTACCAGAGGAGGACACACCACCAAAGAGGAAGCGATGCCAGAGTCAAAGACGCAAGAACAAACCCAAACCGCAAACCCTGGAGGAAGTTCTGGAGAGAATAGGCCTAACTGTAAGCCTAAAGTTACTTTCTCTTAAAGGGTTAGTTCACCCAAAAATGAAAATTAGCCCATAAATTAGCCCATCCTAGGTGTATATGACTTTCTTCTTTCAGACGAATCCAGTCGGAGTTATATTTAAAATTGTCTTTGATCTTTCAAGCTGTTTCATGGCACTCAGCATGTGTTGCATGCATCAGTCCAAAAGAAGTTAAATAAAAAGCACCCATCCATTAAAAAAAAAGTGTCTCACACGGCTCCGGGAGGTGAACAAAGGCCTTCTGTAGTGAATCGATGCGTTTTTGTAAGAAAAATATCCATATTCAAAACGTAATAATCACTTTAATGTAGCTTGCGCCAACAGTTGCACACAGAAGCAGCTCCGGGCTGATGAGGTATGAGTTCAGCGCTGCGCATGCGCCTGTGAGTCTCGTGAAAACCAACGTTTGTTTACAGGAAGGAAGCAAAGTTTCCTTACTTCAGCAAAGGAAAACCAGTCTCCTCTTGGCGTATATCGAAATCCTCCGACATTCTTCTTTACAAATCCTCGTTTTGTACTTCTAAT